ATATATGTATGTACAAGCTTACGCTGTTGGTTTGCCGGTCAACAAACTTAAATATTTCCACGCGATTGCGTGTTGTGCGCGTGCATACATACATACATATGCATGATGAACTCAGGCGCATACTCAACAGGATATGCGCGCATGCACAACGAATACCTGGAGCAGATGCTATTAATTGTAGTTTATCTTGTGTATACTAGTTAAGGTATTTTATAGCAGCTACTAAAAGTGATTTAAGTTAATACCAAAGCATAAACCACATGGGTATCCGGTTGAGTTCGTAGTTCATTGGATATCTCAATTAAGTGGCATAAAAGCGCTGTGAAAATAATTAGCTTTTATTTTCGCTAAATGTCGTTAGTTAGAAAAGGATGTGGCTGCGGTAGGCACACTACTCAAACCTAAATATTTAGGTACACATATAAAGGTTAGTGCGATTGTTGCACGTTAACAATTGCGGGTATCTATCAGGAAGTTTATTGCATAGCATTGGTTATGGTAAGGATCTGGANTCAAAGCATAAACCACATGGGTATCCGGTTGAGTTCGTAGTTCATTGGATATCTCAATTAAGTGGCATAAAAGCGCTGTGAAAATAATTAGCTGTTCTTTTCGCTGAATGTCATTAGTTAGAAAAGGATGTGGCTGCGGTGGGCATACTACTCAAACTTAAATATTTAGGTATATATATATCTATCAGGAAGTTTATTGCATAGCATTGGTTATGGTAAGGATCTGGATAAATTGCTTGCTCGGTAGCAGATAGGTAAAAATACTAACCTACAAGGACATATGTATGTCCAAAAGACAGACTGCTTCAAAAGCCAACGAGCACTAATATAACCTGTTAGGGAACCGGTGATGATGAAAATATATGCGACCAAAATTGGTTGTANCCAAAAGACAGACTGCTTCAAAGGCCAATGAATACTGGTATAACTTGTTAGGGAACCGGTGATGATGAAAATATATGCGACCAAAATTGGTTGTACCAAGGTTGCGTTGAATGTAGACCTTGAAATACAAACTCAAAAGCCTAAAGACGATTTGCATAGATGATGGTATAGGCATTATATTTCAGAAAGAGAGTGTCATAAATACCAGACCAAAACTTACGCTGGAAAACTCACGTAGGTAGGCGAAACAGCGATGAAAGCTGTAGAAACATCTATGATGCGTAAGTCCATGGAGGGAAATAGTGGAGGTTTCTCCCAAAAAATACTGATAACTTATACATCCATTACTTAACTGGGTTGATAAGAGAATCAGCCACACAATGGAGAGCCATGAAGGCGCTCACCATGATGCGCAGACTTAACTGCAGCCATGAAGACTTATCCAGCGTCATCCTTGGAAGCTTTTCTAGAGGTCGCCTGCCTTCTTATTTATATCCAGACTATCCAGTCAAAGAAAGCTATCGTAAGGATTCTGGTCACCTTCTAAGGTGAACAATCCTTTGCATACGTTTGTTCAAGCACCAAAGTCTAGGACTATCTGGCTGACTGAAGGTGTTGCCCATTTTTTTCCTTATAAAAAAGCATCCAAGAAAACNACGGTTACCAAGATGCGCAGACTTAACTGCAGCCATGGAGACTTATCCAACGTCATCCTTGGAAGCTTTTCTAGAACTCACTTACCTTCATATTTATATCCAGACTATCCAGTCAAAGAAAGCAAGCTATCGTAAGGATTCTGGTCGCCTTCTAAGGTGAACAATCCTTTGCATACGTTTGTTCAAGCACCAAAATCTAGGGCCATCTGACTTACTGAAGGTGTTGCCCATTTTTTTCCTTATAAAAAAGCATCCAAGAAAACGCGGAAGACCGCAAGCAAAGCATTATTCGATCATCCAAAAGCATGCGTATGTATGTACTCATATCAGTATTTATGTAAATAAAATGCTGACAGTCAAGAAAGAGCAATAAGGTAGGCACGGTGGTCCTCGACCATCTTCAACCCTGACGAGCTTGCACCTCCGATCTTCTGTTTCCATGTGGTTAAGGAATACTTCCCAAACATATTCGTATATCGCGGAAAATCGAAAAGTTTGCACATTTTTAAAATATGATACCTCCGTTAGAAACATAAAAAAGTGTACAAGCCAATACATACATGCATACAGTACATGCACATTAGGGCGTGCGGAAAATTTTATTTTCCCCAAATAGAGGATAATAAGAGGATAAGAGCATTAAAGTTCCGACTTTGCTTTTTTTGCACCACCCTATTGCTCCGCCTTATTTTATTTAGTTAATTAATATATATCTGTTTGAAACTACTATTTATACCGACAACTTTTATTCTTACTGAAAAAGGACATAGGAACGTGGGATACTAAATTTAATAACCTTTAATTATCGCCTTCGCCATTCATTTTCAAAATCATACAATTTTAATCAATTGCGCGGGCTAACTATTTGTTTTAAATTCATCTTTCGTAGCGAATTATTATTGGCTTAGACCTAAGGCAACATACTATTTCTATTACAATATGACCTACGAATGCCTTTTACTTTTCCCCCATAAAAAAACGACCCAGCCTAATGCACATATTTACATAGGTAAATTTGTATTCAAAGAATTTTTTAACGTTAGGGAGAATAACGTAAGTCATTATAACATTGCGGCATATTCGTAATTAAAATAAAGTTCCAGCGTAAAAACCGATCATATGGATATTGTGAGCCCTATCTTATATTTGAGGTTTAAGACTTGAATTATTTATATATGCATAGACATTAGGGTGGCCCACATTTTTTTTCCTCCAGCCTCCCTCCAGATCTAAGGAATATATTTGAGGTTTAAGACTGAATTATTTATCTATGATATATTGCATTCATTTTCATTTATTAGGTAGATGCCAACTCTATCCAGAAATATCTAGGGCTTAAATCTTTATTTTAACACCTTTTGTGTGAAAGTCATATTTTACTTAATCGCATGTAGCATGATTTAAAAAAAATTTTATTTTAGATAAATGGCAACCCTATCTCAAAATATATGTGAATTAAAGTATCTATTTTCCAAAACCTTTGCTGGGCGTGTATATGCCTTCCATTTGATACCCATATTGTGTTATTAAGTTAGCTTAAATTTTTAATAATCTTTGTTGTATTGTTTAGAAAGGTGACAACCCCGCACAAAATGTTTTTAAATCTCTTCAAACGCTTTTAGTTTTGATGAAGAAATTTATTTATTTTATTGAGATGTTAAATAATTTTATAATTTCAAATATCTGGTAACCTTATTTTTAAAAGTNAGAAATTTATTTATTTTATTGAGCCGTTAAATAATTTTATAATTTCAAATATCTGGTAACCTTATTTTTAAAAGTTTTTTACAACAACAACAAAATATAACACATCCATTGAGCCACTCGTGTGGTTATGAAAACATAAAAAAAAAAATTTTGTATAAAACAGATAGGATTATCGGTGATTAAAACACACTTAGTAAAATTTTTAAGTTAAAGAAGGATCATAGTGAAATTTTCAGAAGAATTCTGAAGAGAAGTGGTCTTATTGGATGAAAAAATATTTATATTTTAACGATTTTATAGCAGTTCTAAATAAATATTATGCGATTTCATTCAAAAAATAAAAACGTTCTCATTATTTTTGATATTCTGCAGTTCTAGCGGGTAGCAGCAGGAAAAATACAAAAAAAAAAAATTGATTTTACTATGTATTTCGGACCACCCTAATATGTATACATATTGCTTTGTGGATAGATATTTTTACTTTTCGATATTTTTACTTCGACAAAGTCATTCACTGCCCTTCAAAGTTGTAATTGGCCACAATGATGTGTGTCCCAATACGCGAAGACTTTTTATTTGTTGCGAGGAGGTACGTTGTTTTTTTTGCTCCCCTTCACCGTTTGAAAAGCTGCTCGAGACTTGACAAATATTTAACTTTTTAAAAAACTGTACTGATTTTGTGTTGTGTGGTTTTGTCCTTCAACCACAGAAATATCGGTATACCAAATATGCAAATTAAGTGATATAAATTTAAACATTAGTGAAAACGTATTCGGTGAAAACTGATCTATGCGTTTATTTTCATGAAATGCTGAGACAGTCGATTAATGCGCAAGAGATTTGATTTCACGAAAATGTATTCTGGAATATTTTATTGAAATGCCTACATACATACATGCATACATACATGTAAATATATGTACATTAGAGTGGTCCAAAAAAGAACATTTTCCAAGAGAGAAGGGCTTGGGACACCCTCCAAATTTTTTCCTTTTGCCGAAAGAGTACCCTTACATTTCAAAGTATAAATTTAGAGGATGCTCATGATGCTCATATTTTACTCTAGAAGTATTGTGTACATATATTAAACAAACTATTGGTTAAGTAACCTAAGAACATTTCAAATTTAAATTATCTAAAAAAATATCAAAAGCTTCAGCTGTCATGGCAACGGTACCTTGTTATAAAAATCACCAATATTTTTGCCAGTTTCGCAGCGATCCACTAGCGTATTTCAAGTTCATTGAGCACCCTGTATTGGTTGCAGTAGAAAACTGAAAGTTTGTAAAGATGTTTCAAATATTAAAAGGAAAAAATCTAAGGCGGTGCCCCGTTTTCTAGGATCGAAATTTTTTTTCTCCATACAAAAATTCTACCACTTTAATGTACGTACTTATGTACATAAGTGTGTGCATTCACTTTGTATTCGTTTGCATAAGGGATTTGTTTTTTTTTGCATATCAGTTAAATGTGTATAAGTGCATACCTATGTATGTAGATTCCGTCTGTGCTACATACATATGTATGTACTTGATTTCAAATATACCTACTCATGTTCAAAGGTGTATACATACATATACATATATATAGACGTTCATATATGTTGAGGCGTTTGGATAGGATTTTTTTTTAATGTTTTAGTTACTTTTATTGTCAGTATAGTCATCATTTTTTTTTTTGTATTCCTCAGGAAATTTACATTTCAGTTACGGATATGAGCTCGATATGTGGCATGAATTAGAATCCGATTTCAGTTATTCTTCAGCTTTTGCGCTGAATGTACGAGGCGTCGTTGGTTTAGTTTTGAAACGCAATATATTTTGTGGCTGAAAATATCCTTAATAAAATTGACTAACTAATTTGGAAGAATATAAAAAAAAAATACAAAATAAACAATAATAATAATTTTTAAGTGTTTTAATGCACTTAATTACTTAGTTGTTTAAGGAATACATAGGCGATGAAGAGTATGAAGGCAATAATACTCGCTTATGTAAGTATACATATATATATATATTTATTTATGTAGTTTTGTTGTGGAACCCTTAATTTTAATGTTGTTTTCTGCGCTTGGGCTTCGAAAATCGAGTATCGTGATTATTACAGAAAAAATGTTTATTTGAATTGGTTTAACCCATTACTACTGTTTTAAGACTATGGAACATCTTCTCAAGTAGGTCTAAAAACGTATTACTTGAAAAAATTGCCATAAAAGAGTTTTTTACAAAAATCAAATCAGCTTCAAGATCTACAGGATCTAGGATCTGGGCCTATGTAAGAAAAAGGAGCAGATTTTTTTATTTATTATATGTTGGTTAGCATACAGTTGAAGAGTTTATTTGTGGACAGATAGGCCCCTCCTAAAAGGTTAATATTCAAAATGGTGAAAAAAGTGACTTTTACTACGCACATAAAAAAAAATGATTCCAACTATACAAATGGCATTTATAAGCTCTTAATCCTTTCAGAACAAAAAATCAACCGTTGAAGCTAAAAATCTGAAAATTTGTATACCGGCTAATTTTGGGTGATTTGTGATTTGTGTTATTTATTATTACCCTGAANAAGTTTTAGAGTTTATTTGTAAACAGATAGGCTTCCTAAAAGGTTAATATTCAAAATGGTGAAAAAGTGACTTTTACTACGCACATAAAAAAAAAATGATTCCAACTGTACAAATGGCATTTAAGCTCTTAACCCTTTCAGTACAAAAAATCAACCGTTGAAGCTAAAAATCTGAAAATTTGTATATCGGCTAATTTTGGGTGATTTGTGATTTGTGTTATTTATTATTACCCTGAAGGCATTATATTCGTTTTTGGTTTTAACAACTATGTTATAACAAGATGACATTTTTAAAATAAAAGATNTTCAGTACAAAAAATCAACCGTTGAAGCTAAAAATCTGAAAATTTGTATATCGGCTAATTTTGGGTGATTTGTGATTTGTGTTATTTATTATTACCCTGAAGGCATTATATTCGTTTTTGGTTTTAACAACTATGTTATAACAAGATGACATTTTTAAAATAAAAGATTTTTTTTAAGCCGATTTCATGAACTTGATAAAAAATTTGTTTCGAGATTTTTGGCGATTTTTTTCAGAAATGGCTCTTTTTCTTCTAAAAAAATCTGGACACTCTGATTCTTGTGCACAAGTGCGCTCTGGTATGCAGGTCGGTAATACCACCAGAAGATAGAAGAGCATCCCCGACTTGGTAATTCTTTTTCCAATGAAAACATTTTCATTAATAAAATTTTTCAATAAAAAGAGGAATTTAGACCCACTGTAAAAATAATTTTGATTAGTCGAGTTAAAAAAAAGCACGCCGTTGCTTTCTCTTCTGTACCAACTGACGCCAATTAGAAGAGCCAAGTGCAACCAAGTCCTTCTCCACCAGGTCTTTCCATCGCAGAGGAGACCTTCCTCTTCATCTGCTGCCAATATCGCGTCCCGCATTGCCTACTTTCAGAGGTGGAGCGTTTCTGTCCATTTGCATTTGACGACTATATCTTTTAAAATTAAGGCCAAATTTGGCTAAGCTCGAGAAAAATTAAGTTAATTAATGAACGGAATTAACTCTCTTAACTTTAAATTTTCTCTTATACCGTTTTTGCGAAGAAGGTCCAGCTTAGTGAAACTGCTGAATTTTATACTTATTTTTTAATATTTAAATTTTCGAAAACCCCAAATTCACAATAGTTTCACATTTGATAAAACTGTGGAACATTTTCGATTTTTTCTGAGAAATTGATGAAACCAATTTTTTTCGATTGGCGATTTGCATTTTTTTTTTCATTTTGGAGAGCAGCATATAAAACCATTAGAATTAATTTAAATGCAAATATTTTCACATAGATGGTGTTTCTGGGAGGTTTTGTAACGAGGAATCTGAATCTGTAATTTGTTGTCTAGAAGAAACATTTGCACTTTTTCATTGTTGTACTTCCAAGTTTTTTCGCTGACTTTTTGAAAAACTTGGTTTCATCAATGCAGTGTAGTGTTATATACTTACCTAAAGACTTGAATTAAAATTTTTTTATTGTATCTACTGATTACATGTTTTTTTTTAATAAGCTTAAAATTGACGAGGGTTTTCAGGAAGCTGAATGATGTTTTGTTATATTCTGTATACTTCCATAGATTAAGTTTAATTTACAACATGATTCAATTGTAAGTTATGTAAATTGTATAAATAAAATATAAAATTTTCAGCCAAAGTTTTTATAAAGTAAGAGGCAGCCTTCCTTTGCTATATGCGGATATACATATGTACATATTGAAGTATGCACATAGCTACATATGCGCATATGAGTAAATTCAAATATTTATAATAATACTTGTAATAACCCCCGAAATTTGGGTAAACACAGCGAAGAAACCTGAATAATGCAAAGTAAAAAATTAAACCTGATATTTATGAACATACTTAAGTATCATTTAAAGAACTTTGCGAAAAGACAACATTTAATCTTGTATTGTTAGAGACCTCCAACTTAATTTTTGAAGTTATTTAAGGACCCAACTCTACTCGTACCTACGCACAGGTGGCCGTGAGTAAAACGGTCTCTTCAAGATATAGTGCAGCTGTCGAAATGCATGTCTAAGTGCTTTATTATTATTATTTCAAATGTTAGTCAGGGTTATAATCGATTCGTTTGCCAAATTCTAAAAAAAAAATTTAAATTCGTCCAGCCGTTTCTGAGTGCAGAGACACCAGGTTTTTTGTTTTTAATTCGAAGGAACGCGGCAGATCTGATAACCTTCACAAGAAAATTCCTTCTCATATTATATACATATACATACATAGATGGCAATCCTAAGCAAATATTATTTCAAACTGAAGTTTTTTAAACTATGAATTCGACGTTTCAAACCCGCTCCTAAAGTATTTTCAAACTAAAAACTTTTTAAATATCTTTCATCTGCCGTCCTGACTCATATTTCTATTATGTAATTTATTAATTGTGTAAGTTGTATTTGATTTTTTGAACAAGTGGCGACCCTAGGAGTTAAGAAATAAAGCCTTTCCCACTCATTTCCATTGATAACGATATTTAAATAATTTGCCTAACTTATTAAATAATTTGAATTTAACTTTTTCAAAAGGTGGCAATGCTTTTCAAACAACAAAACCATATTCTACATATACTACGTTCATACTTAAGCTTCCTTAAAACTCTTTAATTTGACACTCATATTTTATAATTTCATGTAACATGTCTATAATTTAATTAAATTCGACTAATTAACAAGGTGGCAACCCACTTCAAAATTATTTTAAAACTAAAACTTTTCAAATCTTATTTGTATGATGTTGTGATACATATTTCAACTAAATGGTAAATTAATCAGAATTCGACTTTTAAACGTGTGGCAACCCCTTACGCATGTATAATTTGGAAATAAAGCCTTTTCAAACCCACTCCGCTTGATAGCCATCTACTAATAAAAAATTTAACTCATTTAATAATTAAAATTTAAATTTTTTAATAGCTGGCAACCATCTCAGAGACATTTTATACATATGTTCAAAGCAGGGAAGCCAACTCGTGGTGAATTTCCCGATTTGCGGGGAATTTGAATTTGCGTGGGCAATCAGGGAATGGACCGTTTTTTGTGGGGAGTTTCAGTTTACGTGCAGAATCGGGAGATGAACTGCTTTTTGTTAGGAATTAGGTGTTAACTAATTTATTCTTTTTTGCTCCATTGATTCAAAATGAGGCAAAAAAGTTGCATAAGAAATGCAACTGCAACTAAAAGTACTGATTATGC